TTGTTCTAAATTCTAAAATTGTTTTTTGTACAACAACTCGAAAGAGAGGTTAGAAGAAACATCTGTCAAAAGCGATTTGTTGCGCTGGTGCGGTACAAGGATGGAAGTGAAATAGACATATACAGATGAAATGCATATAACAAAGATGAAGATGTGGTGATCACACAAGGATAGCATTATACTACTCCCCTTGACGTAGAAAACGACAACAGATAGCTTCATGTCTAGTCACAGCTTTCAGTTTGAGTATTGGTATCTATTTATTATATAATCTAAGACTAAAATACGGTTTCTACGGATTGCAATAATCGGATGAGAATGTCAACGGTTCAGATATTTTTATTGCTCTGAGTTCCGTTTATTGAATAAAACACTATATTTTATTTGGTTTTTGGATACTGTAATTCACATCTAATTAATTATAACTTGTCTAGATCTAGGGGAGCATCCCCTATAGCCTCCCCCTAGCTACGGCCTAATGAAATATCGAGAAAATTTGGCTTCACAACTGCATCGTCTCGTCATCGTCTCCAGCTTCCGGTCACTGTTTTGTTGAAATGCTTATTATATAAACTATTTTGCCCGAACGTGTGAGGTCGTCGATAAAGACATGACACTGTCAGTGGCGTAACTGAATATACACGCGGCCTCCGGAAAGTTAACAGACAGACGGAAACGGGAGAGCTATTTCTTCGTCCTCTAGGGGTCATGTTAGGTCGAGAAAATGCAAAAATAGATAGTCGGCCGACGGACTCGATTACAATACTTCCTTTGCTTACGGTCGGCAATTTTTTTGTACAAACAAAAACATTACGTGAGGTTAGGGACTGCAGAACAAGGAAATTTACGTTCAATTTAAATTATAAGTACAACAAAGAAAATTACTGAGGCTAAAGTTGTGAGATAGAGAAAAATTGCATGAGATGTAAAATTGCAAAGCTAACAAAATTACATGAGATTAATACATATTTATTTGCTACACTTTATCAACGATTCAAACAAAGAATTTACATGATGTTAAATTATGCCTTGATCCAAGTGACTGGTTACTTAATAAAATAGCTTTGAGAGTTTATATAATGCATTATCCCCAGCTTATCCCAAACAAACACATGATAGTAAATACAAAATGCATCCCTCGTCGAGAGAAATGCGTCTCGGTGAAGTAATTTCCCACAATGCCAGAAATAAGTCTCGATGATGTGATTTCCTACGTCGCGAGAAATTCGTCTCGATGTCCGATGATAACTCCTTAAGGGGGAACAAAAATTAATCCCCCCGTCCTTCAGTGCACGATATTATGAATTCTACCGCACTTTCCAAGGTCCTTTTTCCAGAGTGGGACAACGCTAGGTTGATTTATCTGCCGTATATATATAATTAACACTTAAGTATAAGCATCCAGAAACTTATTTTTAGCTTGATAAACAAAGGATGAGTCCTAAGTGAATTTCATGAAATCTCCTAACAAATGCTTTATCTGAACAATCTCATGACTGTTAAATTGTGTTAGAACCAGTTAACGATTAAAACCTAATATGAACTGTGAATTTACAAACAATAAATCAAATTTACACCACGTGTTAGTATCGGTCGAAAATTTGCATATTTCGCTTGGAAGAACAGCAAGAATTAGCTACGCATGTTGAGGAAACTGTGGCTTCGCAATCGGTACGATTAATTTTCATTAAACAAAGACTTCCCTTTTTTCGAACTACCAAACCAATTAAACTTAATCTAGCTACCTTACCGCCTGCTTTCAATCACACTAAACAAACAGTAGTGACGCTTCTCAACCCTGTAGCCAACAAGTGAACTTCATTACCAATCCTGTCATCAGGATTTTCTTGATTAATTTTTTGTTCTATAATCTGACCCAAAAAAATGTAGAGCTATTACGAAAAATCACGGGAAAAAAAGATTATCAGTTAAAGACATTTTGTTATAAAATTAGGAAAAGTTAATGCAGGTACAAAATGATTAATGGGAAAGAGCTCGAAAATTGACGTGGAAGCTTGGACAACTAACCCGATTCTCGCATATGCTGACTTTAGGAAAGCCTATGTTTTCATTTTAGATGTCAGTAAGAATGGTATTGGGGTAATACTGGTTCATTATATTAATGGGCTAGACGAATTAAACATCATCAGCTGTATCTAGACAAAAATAAACAATGCAGGATGCATATGACACATATACCTAGGTACAGAACATCTTTGAACTTGAGTATTTTTTATTATTCAAAAATTAAGTACATATAATTTCATATAGCAACTCACAACTAAGTACAGTTACTTTACATAAACTGCAATCATCAAAGTTCATTACCTTATTTTTCTCCCATTTTGCACAGAAGTATTTTAGTTTTTAACAAGATAGAAGTTGACAAATGTGTTCATTTTACACATCATATTTTGCACGTTTAAAGTAAAAAATAGTTTTTAATTTTGTAAGTGCCGAAAGTGACGCTTTATAGTATATTAAGTATTAAGAACGGTAAGGGCTGTTTACTGGTCGAAGACAAAAGTTTGGAGACGGAGCGAAGCGACGTCTCCAATTTGTCTGAGACCAGTAAACCCCCTTAACGTTCGTGATGCTTATACTATTTTTTGTACGACCATCAAAAGATTTGCATCTTTTTATCAAATCCATAAATTGAAAGAATTTATATCGAACATCAACAAGGTCGTTTTTTTAATTTAAAATTTGTTACTATGGTTTCGTTTAATATTAACAACAATTTTAAAAATCAATTTCCATTTTGACCTCTGTCGATTTAGATTTGATCTGGCTCTATTTGGAGTTAATTTTCTATCCGCGACTATTAGTGAGTGATTTAGTTGCTTAAAATATCAATCACGAGTAATTCTGAAAGCGAAAATATCGAAGTCGAACAAGCATGGAATTTAAAATAAAAAAAATCTTGAATGCATGATTACTTACCGTTCAGCTGAACAGTAAGTAATTTGCTTACCGTTCGCCTCTTGGTTGTTAGTCGTAGCAACCCGTAAACTGAACTTACTGCTATGGAAACGTGTACGGTAAATGATCGAAAAAGTGATGGTCGTACAAAAAGATATATTACATTTCTTACTACTTTTTATAAAAAAAAAATGTAACAATAGTTAAATCTTAATTAAATTTATCACTAAAATTTAAACGTCAAACAATTACTAAATAACGTTTTAAAAACGTTGCACCAGTGTTAACAATATTCTAATTCTAATTAATCTTTTTAACTAGATACATTTGTGGACATTAAGATTTATTTCCGCTTAAAAGGATCACAATAGATATTTTCCTCAAGGCAGTCTATATTTTACGACATGAAAGATAAGTGCACCGACATGAAAATTTTTAAGTACACACGTACATATTTATATGTGTTATCAACGCCCCCGATATGATTATAAGGTAATGAAATTTAATAATTATGCATATAAGGCAATCGTTGCAGTTAAGATATCTAAGTTTATATTTTCAGTATAGATTCGAATAATTTTTACTGCGTAGAGAGTGTATGTGGTGTACCTAAATTACTGTCATCCTACGAAAAGAAAATTTAAGAAAAATACTGAAGAATCTACTGGGTAATTTAACCTCTCAGTAGATTAATATTGCCAATTTTTATAAATATTTTGTTTTTGACGGTAAGCTGACAGTAACATATTACATATCTACACCATACTAGACATCATATACTGTTTCAGTTTATATGTGGCATTTTCTAAATAAAAATATGTTATCTACATAAATTTAATATTTGTATAATCGTTAAAATAATTGTTTACATATAAACAATTCAAGAAAAAAAAGAAAATTATGTATGTATTAAGATTGCAAAAATAATAACATATGTTTTTTTCATTTTAAATTAAGGTCGATGGTGCAGTACGTTTCTTTATCAAATTTGTAAAACAAAAAGTTATAATAATTATTTGTTTCCTCCTACTAGTAACCTTTCAAAAATAATAATAGGTACATTTTATTTGAGAATGTAAAATTCCAGAAGGCAGCAATTACGCATTAATTATTTTCAATAGTCAAGTGTGTTACCCCAAAACTACAGAATAAGTACTACCTAATTTGCCTTTGTTATTAGACATTCAAGGTAACGCCTTTAGATTTTGTCTGTACTGTCATCTTGGAAATCGCAAAAAAGCTACGTTACACAGTAAAAAAAAGATTGTGTCTTAGAAGCTGCTAAGCGTTTACTTTTACTATATTTCAGTTCCAACAAATAAAGTCGAAAATAGATCTAGTACGATTTCTAAAGTTTTGCAAGCTGACAATAGTAGTGAAAACCGCAATAAAAAATTTCCATATATAATTGAAATATTGATTTTTTAAAATACATGATGCCAAATTTCAGCATAATTTAAAAAATATATGATTATAAACTGTTTAAAAAAATTGCCCTCCGAATTATATGATCAAAGTTGTGGGCAAGTTATATTTAAAATTTGATAACAATCAGTGGAGATATCATATTCTGAAAATATATCGACAACACCATAAGAGCCAAACGTAGCAACTCCTCTTAAATACAAATTTTTACTAGCCAGTTTTGTGGGAACGCAGCAAAAAAAATCCAAATAAAATAAATCGTGATATAGGTATTATGTCTGGCGGAAAATTGGACCAGGCCATGTAAAATTTTTCATTTTTTACATGTTGAACGATTCAAAAAATTAAGTGACCTTAAGAGTTTCCTTAATTTTAAAACCATATGTTTATAATTTTATAAAGGAAGTTTATTTTTTTTATTTTGGCTCAAAACAGTGTGTTAAAGTGTGTTTTAACTTACAAAACTCGAAAACTATTTTTTCTGGACAGAGTCTAGTGTAAGATAAATTACCTAATGTTACTGTAAACTATAGGTAAAATAAAGCTATAGCTAAAATGAAATAAAAATAAATTAATTTTCAACAAAAAATATGAGAAAGATAATAAATAACAATAAATTAACAATAAATACGTAAATAAACAAAACTAGAAACAAAAATAAATAATATTGGTTGAAGTGTCAAAGAGGTAGGTTGATATAATAATGTATAACAATGACACGATGACAAAATAATTCATAATGCAGGTAGATAAAATAATAAGTATCTATTTCGTAGGTAATCACTAATCAACGAATAAACTTTTAAAATTGCAAATATGTTACCAATTCCAACGATTCTTATGCTATATACAAATGATAGATTATATTTATTCTTTTTATTGCACAGTTTGATAAAATAGAGATATTGGGATTTAAGGAAAATATTAACATATCGAATCTCTTTTAATTTGAGTTAAATTATGAAGTATTTAACTTAAAAATATTTCAAATTTGTTTAACTAGTCGGAGTATCTTATCTGCTTATCTCGATCAATTATCACAAAAAGTGGTTTACGTGAATTTTTGAAAATCGGAAATTTGGCACTAATTTGATTTTGTATGTGAATGTCAAAAAATATTATTAAAGTCAGTTACACATAGTCTAAAGTGCGATTAACGGTGGTCTAGTTTCATGTATGTACTAGATTGACTATCCAGCAGAGAAAGTAATTTGACAACATTATTTTTGTTACCGTTGCAACGATTATTATGGGAACAGTGGTTGATGTGAAAAGTACTAAACATAATTTGATGTCTATCACCGCCGGTGCATACGATCACATATTTGGTATTGAAAAATTGAAAATAATAGACATTTATAAAATGCCTAATTTTAACAGTCATTGTGTTGTGGCTCTTCCAGTATAACCGGACTCAGTAAAATGTCTGTTTTCACGAACTAATTGATCAATATTTTTACTGGTATTAACTGTCCCTATTAGTGCTGCATGTAATCTAGTTGCTAACCAACACATTATGAATGCAGATAGAAATAGTAAACAACCTAAAATTGCAGCAATCGCTAAAAAAGTGCTACATGAAGTTTCCATGGCAGCTGATGTTCGGTGATAATATTCCCCTGGCATTAGAACGGTGTATTCTAAATTTTCTTTAATTTTAGTGTATTGCGTTGCGTTACTATACTTTTCATTGGGAGGGGGAAGATCAGGAGCTTCAACAATTTCTATTGCTTCTAAATCACGACGTTTTCTGCCGTGGCCTGACGGTTCGAATAAATCCAAGCAAAAATCAGGCTGACAGTCAGCGGCGTCCATGCAAGCTTTTATTTGGGAATGAATCCACAAAGTTGATCGTTCTTTCATAGTACTTAATAAAAAGGCCTCAAAATCCAAAAAGACCTCATTATGTCTTTCACGATAGCGAGCTGGTTGGTGAGGAATAATCGAAGCAAAATCTCGATTTCTGCAGCTGCAACATATAAATAAACAAATTATTATTTTAATGTTATTTCGGGACTAATAAACAAAGTGTAATTATGACTGTTAGTATTCGTTTCGTACTTTAAAACATTATATAGTTATAGTGTTTTAAAGTACGAAGGGTTTTGGAATAATACGCGCAAGGGATTCTTCCCTGAAGCCTTGAAGGGTGTAGAAGTGCTGTGGTGAAAGAAGTTTTGGCAGTTTTTGAGTTTGTTAGTTTTTGGAGAAGACCTGAGACCACCGTAAGTACCGTCCTGGGGTTTATGCCTGTCGGCGTGCCGTTTTTTTTGTCGTCACCGACACAAGTCGAAACCGTCGTGCACGCGTCATGTACCGCAACCGCGCATCTCTCCCAGGTCGCCGTACCGTGTCCGCGTGAGATCCAGGTTCAAGATCGCCGCCCCCAGGTCCAGGAAGAGCCCGTCCTGAAGGAAGTCGCCGTCCAGGAGGGAACGACCGTGCCGGACGTGTTATTACTTTTCTTGTTTGTTTTTGCTTTGTAATTATTTAATTTAATATTAGCCGTAAGATTTATTATTTTAGCCGTGTAGTTGGTGGCAGGGAATAAACCCCATTATCATTTAAAATATTCCTTGCCGTGTTATTTTACTCTTTTGTTTTCGCGGGAGCTCACCACCTAAGATCCGTGTCTCCGGCTTGAGAGCAACCCCGGCGCTCCCTTCCCCGGAGAGGGAGCTGGCACCCGAGCGACCGCCGCTCCTGACCGAAGGCGCCAACCCTGGCGGTGTGAAGGTCGCCGCATAAACTTAGGTTTGCCAGACGTTTTTTTAAATCAGCGATACTAGTCGGCCCATGGCTTGGCACCTAGGTACGCCGCCACCACACGTTATCGGCGAGATTCCGGACCATCCGTCACACCGGAATTTCGTCGCACATGTCCCAAATTTGCGCAAATTTTCCATTCGTCTTGTCGAATTTCGTAAATTATTTAGTATCACCATCTTCAGTTTTTCAATAGATTCAGTCATCTGACCAATATTCATTATTATGAAATCGGGCTACAAAAATGTGTAAAAAAAAAATAACCACATTTTTTGTAGTTATATGCTAGTATAAAATAATTGAAATTTAAGTTAAATCCATAAATTTTTAAATAAGTAAATTGTGTTTTTTAAACGTTTCGCTACTTTTAGATAAATAGTTAAAAAAAAGGAACACAAGCACGGTTCCATCTTATTACTTTTGAAAGTTAAATTTTGTCGATGAATGCAGATTAGCCTTACCGAAATAATAACAAAATTAGGAACATTACGAATAATATTTAAATTATTTGCTGTTTATTTTCAATATATTTTGTTTAAAAAAGATAGCAAATTTAACGCATTAAATTATATTATATTTACTTAGGAACTGCAACTATCGTTACAATTAATCAATTAATCGACCTGTCGAAGTCAATTTTAACTTGAACTTTTGTTAATGAATTGAGTAAGTGCTCATTCACAATGGGCTTAAAGCGTAAGGATGTCATACGCATTAATGCATACAAATTTATGGTGAAGGCTCTATGCTTCACACTGAGCATAATGCTTAGGACATACTTTATGCCCATTGTGAATGAGCACTTATGCTCATTGTGAACGAATAGAATCATAGAGCACTAAACATAAATTTTTATGCATTAATGCTTATGACATCCTTATGCTTTATGCCCATTGTGAATGAGCATTAAGTGAACCTATTAACGGAATTCTTTGGCTTTTTTTTTAATTTGACTAATACCTCATTATCAAAGTTACATCATTTTGTACCATGGTTTCACAAAAAAAGTGTGATAATTATTATATATAACCTCTGTTATCTTTAATTTTAAAATATGTAAATGTAAGTAGAAATAGAATTTTAAACCAAATATTTGGCGACAAATTTGAAACAGTATGGAATTAAAATATACGTACCTAATTTTTACTATGTTATGACATGTTTAAATATGAAGAAAGTTGCTGCAAATATGTTTTAAGCCAAATATGTAGTTTTAAAAAAAAATAGTTTAGCGTGATTTATCTTTATTCTAGTGAAAAATACAAATACTTTAGGAATTTAACATATTCAGATATCATGTGTTAATGAATATAATAGTTATACTAACCCATCCTTAACAAGTGCGACACTTCCAATCATATGCGGGTCATCAGGGTCAGGGCTGACTGTAACCTCCATTAACTTGACATACTTCCAAGCAGATTCGGGGCTAATGCGGGCTCTTAGTTGCAATTTTGTCCCTATAGGAACTGCTTGGTCCACAGGAAGTTCACTGCTTGTTATGTTACTAATTCTAGCAGCAGGAGCCTCTTTATAAAGCGCAACCTCGTATTCTAATCGACCGGGAGTTTCTTCGACTACTCCAGATACTCTTGCACCATGTGGGCTGAAAAAAAGAAAACTACGTTTTGTGCATAGCTTAAAGTTGTTACTACAATAAAGTGGTCAAAAAACAGCTCCGTAAGAATCAGTAGTGGAATGGTGTATTTTAGTGACTGCATACAAAATTAATTACATTTTTATTTCACAATAATTCTTTTATGAAATGTGTTTCGTAATGTTGACAGACGCCGCAAAATTTTACATACCTAGTAAATGTTATTTAAACTTTATAAAACAGCGTAATCATACTTGTGGTTTATAAATCTGTCTTAATTTTGTATCTTACACATTCAGATAAAATTAAAATTTTATAACAACATTTTACAATTTAACTTTCAAATTGCAACACCCAATGCTCTGCAATCTTTCAAACGTTTTAGGTCATCGTAAGGTAAATAGTTAATCAAAATGTTCATCCCCTTCCAAAAATTGATGACGTCATCTAAAAAATTTTGTCGAAGAAATCCTATCTAAAATGTGCAAAGCGTTGAGTTTTTCGCTGTGGTTTGCCAAAGCATTGATATTTTTGAGAATTACTTTTACAGGTGATTCAAAACTGTACCTATTCAAATTGATATGTGTCCTTGCTAAACTGTTGATGACGTCATCTCACAAAATTTTGTGTTGGAAAAATTAACTTAAAACATACGCATAACGTGCTCATTTATTAAAATCAAATTTTATACTATTTCGAATAAGTGGATATGTTGTGCTGTACTTCAGAGCGAGAAGTTCTGTTTAAATAATCTTTTAATATGCAGGAGTGATGTATGGTGAAATTATTTTACGAATGAATAAATGCTACAAATACTCCCTAAAATATAATAACATAAAAATATGCATAAAACTGGCGTTAAAGGTTAAAAAACTTGTTAATTTTATATCCCTGGAATAACTGATATAGCTTCGATAAAATATGAGCAATGAACAATTTTAGAACGAGCACTTTTAATTTAATCGGGGAAGACAAGATTTGCTGAAATTTTTATTAATTTATATTTCATTAATTGCTTGAGTCAGTATAATAGCTTTTTCTTCCATCCCATCATAGTGCTCCTAAAAATTTTCATCTTACTTATTTTGACATAATAAAATGTTTTCGACTTAAGAAAGCAAGTTATTTACTTAAGGTGTTAAACATAATACAATGGAACGTAAGTAAGTCAAATGGGTGTCGTAAAATGTAATTAATGGTTATGTATTCTAACATTCTATAACACTATAACCATCATTACTGTACATCATACTTACAAACTACCAGCAAAACCAGCTGCCTTATTTTCAATAACTGTCGGTTCCGGAGGCTTGCACATAATTATCAATTCTTGATCTGACTGCATGACCACTCCAGGAAACTGAGGAAACCACACTCTGACATGAACAAATCCCTACAAAAATACATTGTAAAATAGATAATTTAATAAGTTATCTGACTTACATTACGTTTTAATACTCCACATCTGCCGAAATCTGTTATTTTCAAATTATATTTCAAACCTGTTGGATCAGAAACGTCTGGCCTAATTTGACAAACGTGGTCTTTTTCTGGATCTACTCCCCGATCATCCGCAAACAATGGATTTCCTTTAAAGCCGTCTGGTTTTCTTAGTTTTGCTAATATTGAATCTCGACTACCTACATTGTTTCCACTTCCAAAGGTACACTGAATTTCTGTTACTGTAAAGTTAATTAATAAGAATAAATAATTATTATCCAAGTGCTATGATGAGGGAAGTGATGTTTTGACAAAAAGAGAACATTTTGTGAATTATATGTTGCATTTAAATTTTGAGAATGGGGTTCTTAATCTTACTTTCTAAAAGTGACACCCCTCTGCTGTTTCTAAGATTATACAATTAGGGATAATCTACAAAAAAAAAAAACACAATGCATTGTTCCTAAAAAGGAACTCTACGAAGCATATTAACCGGAATTGTTTAAAAAGACCGGTTAGTTTTGAATAGATTATTTAATCTCCTTTACATTTTAATTATACTAGTTAAGTTAAAAAAGAAAGAAAATATCTTTGGAATATACCTACACTTTTTTTAAAACAAATTTTTGAAACCTGGAATTCTAGAATATACGTTGTCTTAACTTCTACCTATACATATATGGGTATATAGATGAGTTGCAACAAACTACACTAAATTTCATGTGTAATTTCGACAAAAGTCGCAAGACAAGGTCAATTTTAAATTCTCAGAGGAAACATTTTGATTTATGACGTTGTCCCTTAACCTCTGAAGGCCCCTACTCAAAAATTTGAAATGAAAATCAGGACAAGTTAGCCTTTATTTGAAAGATATTTTATTACATTATACGGCTGCATAATTTTATTGCTTTAAAAGTAATTTTTCATTTTTGAATTACCACTTTATAAATTTGTTTATTTAACTCATTATTATTAAATAATAATGTTAGTTCTCCCAAATGATTCTTGTGTTTAATTCTTACAAAGACGCCGGTTGCGTTGTGTAAATTGTTGATTAAAGACAATCGCTTAAAAAAGTCAAGTGACATTAGGTCTGGTGACCTGTCTGACCGGACCTACAAGCTCCCTTTTGCCGATTAACTTGGAAACTGATTGTCTAAAAATTGTTATACAGGGGTACTATAATGTAGGCAAGTTTCACACCACTTTTTTTCTAATGTGTATTAAGTAATAAATGGATGAATTTGCTAACTTGATAAGTAATACGGTTATCTAAAATTCCAGTCCAATCGTGAGTTTTGAGGTCGTCAAATATGAATCTTCGGGTTAAACAACAAATAAACATTAAATAATTTAGTTAAAACCGTATAGAGCATTAAAATCTCTTTCAAACGATCCTCTTGACTTTTAAAATTTTTGTTTAAAATTTGCTGCCAGGACAATGGGACCAGGTCAAATATGACATAAAAATGTTCTCCTAAAAACAAACATTTGTTTTTTCTCATTAAAAAAACATTTATTGAGTCAATCAGGGTGGTTCGTTGGCACGGAAATGTTTTGTACAATTATAATCTTATAACTGAACGAACGTTTTGATCAAACTAGCCACAGTATAAGATACAGTTTTACAAAGTATGGTAAAATAAGTAACGTAACTAACATCTATGTAACACTGACGTTATAAAAACTATTTTACACGTCGGTTATTGTGTTCTTACCCTCATAATCTTGTGCAATTGTGTGTATCTGAAACAGAAGAAATGTCATGTTACTGATATATTTTTTTATTAATAGAAAGTACAATTGCAAATACAAAACCACAATAAAAAAAATTGGTCTAAAGAGTTTAGACAGTACTTCCCTCGCTGTCGGAAACGTGACGACTGCATGCCTATTATGTTTTTTTTTCGCAGTGGATTTTAAAGAATTCGCTTTTGTAGTTCCTGAGTAAATCAATAAAATAAATTTACGCATTCATTAATTTTTTTGAGTCACCCTGTATATGCAAATCCAAAAAAAAATCAATGGAGTGATAAATCACAAGTACAGACTCATCATATTTTGTACAGTTTAGATAGGATTTATTCGGCAAACTTTCGAGCTGACGTCATCAATTTTTTGGAGGGGATAAGCAAATGTATTTTGACTAAACATTTATTATGCTCTTTATAACCTTAAAACATCTGCAAGATTTCAAAGCATTCGGTTTTGCAGTTCATGATTAAATCAAAAAAATAAATTTACGCATTCATTAATTTTTTTGAGTCACCCTGTATATGCAAATCCAAAAAATATGAATGGAGTGATAGATCACAAGTACAGACTGATCATATTTTGTACATTTTAGATATGATTTATTCGGCACACTTTCGAGCTGACGTCATCAAGTTTTTGGAGGGGATAAGCAAATATATTTTGACTAAACATTTACTATGCTCTTTATGACCTTAAAACATCTGCAAGATTTCAGAGCATTCGGTTTTGTAGTTCCTGATTAAATCAATAAAATATATTTACGCATTCATTAATTTTTTTGAATCACCCTGTATATGCAAATCCAAAAAATATGAATGGAGTGATAAATTACAAGTACAGACTCATCATATTTTTACAGTTTAGAAGGATTTATTCGGCAAACTTTCGAGCTGACGTCATCAATTTTTTGGAGGGGATAAGCAAATATATTTTGACTAAACATTTATTATGCTCTTTATAACCTTAAAACATCTGCAAGATTTCAAAGCATTCGGTTTTGTAGTTTCTGAGTAAATCAGTAAAATAAATTTACGTTTTCATTAATTTTTTTGAGTCACCCTGTATATGCAAATCCAAAAAATATGAATGGAGTGATAGATCACAAGTACAGACTCATCATATTTTGTACATTTTAGATATGATTTATTCCACAAACTTTTGAGCTGACGTCATCAAGTTTTTGGAGGGGATAAGCAAATATTTTTTGACTAAAGATTTATGATGCTCTTTATAGCCTTAAAACATCTGCAACATTTCAAAGCATTCTGGTTAGCAGATTGAAAATTAAATTTCAGAATGTTGTTTCATAATTTTGATTTTTTTTCCAAAAATCTGGACGTTTCGGGTGAAAAGTCGATTCGGAGTTGTAAACTACATGTGTAGGACTATGTTATTTTATACAATTGAAAACCCATTTACTATGTACAATTTTGAAGTGACGTCATCGCATTAGTGGTGGGGATGATTAGACAAATTTTGGTTAGCGTTTTACCATCTACATCATATTCTTAATATAAGTGCAAAATTTCACAACAATCGGTCCAGTACTTTCGGAGATTATCTGTCTAATAAAAATCCGGGACGGCAGACGGACAGACGGACGGACAGACGGACGGACAGACGGACGGACAGACGGACGGACAGACGGACGGACAGACGGACGGACAGACGGACGGACAGACGGACGGACAGACGGACAGACAGACGGAAATGGGAGACCTATTTCTTCGTCTTCTAGGGGTCATGAAAGATCGAGAAAACGTAAAAGTAGAGATTCGGCCGACGGACTCGATTACAATACTTCCTTTGCTTACGCTCGGGAAGTAACAATAAATTTGCAGTGGATCAGACCAGAATAAAAAAAAATTGGTCTAAAGAGTTTAGACAATACTTCCCTCGCTGTCGGAAACTTGACGACTGCATGCCTATTGTGTTTTTTTTTCTCATTACATTTTTGTAGTGGGAATTTAAAAAAAAATTGTGATGACGTCATCAACATTTTTGCAAGGACACGTATATCAGTTGGGATAGATGTAGTGTAATACTAAGAATAAAATTATTGTATTCCCAAATTTTCGGGAAAATGAATTGGGTCGTTTTGAATATTGATTTCTTATAATCAATAAAATAACGAAACAATTTACTCACGTATACGGCGCCGGTGTGTAATATCTAGAGAGCGGATTTCTGTCGGGCTAGGCAAGGCCAAACTCGGTATGGCTCGTACGGGATGCGAATTCATTGCGGTTGCGGACTGCACTTCGTTTATTTGAGATTAGAATAACGCTGTTTCGTTGCACTCTGCTGTTAATTCCCGTTCTCATTTACTTAGCCGTTTGATTAATAAATCGTTAATTATATTTATGGAATTACATAGTACTGATTAAATTCAGTGATTATCTATCACCCGCTACTGAGTCCCGGCGATCCAGCGCGTCCCCACCTATTATCGTGACGTAGCCCGACAAAAATCCGCTGTCTAGTAATATGAAAGGCAACTGAAAATCGTTTATGTATAAACATTCTTAATTTAAGATGACAAGCGTAACAGCATACATGAGAGTCAAACAGAGAAACTGTAAACAAAACGACCATCGGTTTTATTGCTTCGATTTCCGCTTATTATATAAAACATTGGGTTTTATTTTAATTCTTGACGGTGAAACTCACAATTGGTTGATTATAAACATGTCTATTTCACATTCGCGGAACCAAGTGAGCGCATAAAACAAATGCAGGTCTGTAATGTTAAAGTCGATGTAAATAAGCGTGCTACCCTTATGTTTCAACCGAGTTTTTCCTTTAACAAATTTTGTGTCTACCAAATTGGGTTGGTTGGGGTGTAATACTAATAATAAGTGTTGCCTTTAATTTAATCAATAAAATAAATTGACTTCATTAATTTTTTTGAACCACCTCTTAAGAAAATCTAAAAAATATGAATGGAATGATAAATCACAAGTACAAACTCATCATATTTTTTGCATTTTAGATAGGATTTATTCAGCAAAATTTAAGGGTGACGTCATCAATTTTTTTAGGAGGGATGAACAAATACATTTTGAACAAAAGTTTACCATGCTTATAATAACTTTAAAATATTCCCAAGATTTCAAAGCATTCGATTTTGTAATTCCTGATTAAATCGATAAAATAAATTCACGCCTTCATTAATTTTTTTGAGTCACCCTGCATATGCAAATCCAAAAAATATGAATGGAGTGATAGATCACAAGTACAGACTGATCATATTTTGTACATTTTAGATATGATTTATTCGGCAAATTTTCGAGCTGACGTCATCAAGTTTTTGGAGGGGATAAGCAAATATATTTTGACTAAACATTTATTATGCTCTTTATAACCTTAAAACATCTGCAAGATGTCAGAGCATTCCGTTTTGTAGTTCCTGATTAAATCAATAAAATATATTTACGCATTCATTAATTTTTTTGAGTCACTCTGTATATGCAAATCTAAAAAATATGAATGGAGTGATAAATGACAAGTACAGACTCATCATATTTTGTACATTTTAGATATGATTTATTCGGCAAACTTTCGAGCTGACGTCATCAAGTTTTTGGAGGGGATAAGCAAATATATTTTGACTAAACATTTATTATGCTCTTTATGACCTTAAAACATCTGCAAGATTTCAGAGCATTCGGTTTTGTAGTTCCTGATTAAATCAATAAAATATATTTACGCATTCATTAATTTTTTTGAGTCACCCTGTATATGCAAATCCAAAAAATATGAATGGAGTGATAAATGACAAGTACAGACTCATCATATTTTTACAGTTTAGATAGGATTTATTCGGCAAACTTTCGAGCTGACGTCATCAATTTTTTGGAGGGGATAAGCAAATATATTTTGACTAAACATTTATTATGCTCTTTATAACCTTAAAACATCTGCAAGATGTCAAAGCATTCGGTTTTGTAGTTTCTGAGTAAATCAGTAAAATAAATTTACGCATTCATTAATTTTTTTGAGTCACCCTGTATATGCAAATCCAAAAAATATGAATGGAGTGATAGATCACAAGTACAGACTCATCATATTTTGTACATTTTATATATGATTTATTCCACAAACTTTTGAGCTGACGTCATCAAGTTTTTGGAGGGGATAAGCAAATATTTTTTGACTAAAGATTTATGATGCTCTTTATAGCCTTAAAACATCTGCAACATTTCAAAGCATTCTGGTTAGCAGATTAAAAATTAAATTTCAAAATGTTGTTTTATAATTTTGATTTTTTTTCCAAAAATCTGGACGTTTCGGGTGAAAAGTCGATTCAGAGTTGTAAATTACATGTGTAGGACTATGTTATTTTAGACAATTGAAAACCCATTTACTATGTACAATTTTGAAGTGACGTCATCGCATTAGTGGTGGGGACGATTAGACAAATTTTGGTTAGCGTTTTACCATCTACATGATATTCATAATATAAGTACAAAATTTCACAACAATCGGTCGAGTACTTTCGGAGATTATCTGTCTAATAAAAATCCGGGACGGCAGACGGACAGACGGACAGACGGACAGACGGACGGACAGACGGACAGACGGACAGACGGACAGACGGACAGACGGACAGACAGACGGAAATGGGAGACCTATTTCTTTGTCTTCTAGGGGTCATGAAAGATCGAGAAAACGTAAAAGTAGAGAGTCGGCCGACGGACTCGATTACAATACTTCCTTTGCTTACGCTCGGGAAGTAAAAATCATATACAGTATGTCCCCGGATTGAGTTCACAAGAGGAAAAAAAATGTATTTTCTATTTTACAAAAAAATGACATAGGAATAACATGTTTTGCTTAATTCAAAACGAATAAATCTGCAATTAAAATTTTAATATTATCAGGCTGTGTCCTTAAAATCGAAAAAAACTAAAAGTAACAAAGAACTTAGAAATATGAAAAAATTAATTTTAATAGTACAGACCAGAGATACGAAATGCGTGAAAAAATGA